TCTCATCTTCTGTCACCCACCCATCTCCATTTCACGAAGGCCTCGCAGCCACAGTTAACAGGCTAAGTCATGTTTTATTATCCACTTTGGGTCCTAATTTCTTATGTTCTATTAATGATAATTTTTACAGCAGGACTCTTGACAGTCTTTCCTAAAGACTCCCACATCATGCGTAAGATCATCTTCATAATGTTCTATGTGACAAATGTCTTAGTTCTTTCTATCCCCAGCTGTTTGGTTAAACGTGACATTCCCTAAAAGCCTAGGCCTTTACCTTCCCTATACTGGTACAGTCACCACCTTCCCTGCTCCCCCTATTTTTTCTAGTCCCTGCTCCTGGACCAGAGACAAGTTTTACCCACCTACCCTTTTAATTTTTACCCTTTCAGATGGGGGAGCAATCACCTCTCATAACTTCACTCCTCCTAACCCCACATTTAATTTTCTGAATTCTGCCTTATGGTGGAAATGTTTCTACCTCAACATGGTCCTGATATAATGACATGTCTAAATCAAAGGCACCTTCCCTTTTACCTCACCTGAGTCCTTAAATATGATAGTGCCATGCCTCCTCATAACATTTTGTCTCTTTGTTTTTCCAGTCTAACATACGTGCATTCACCAGTGAAGTTGTCCTGGCTAAAACACCTGGCACTAGCTTCTTCTACATGGGCATCAACTGTCATTCCATCTACTCCCCTTTTCCAGCAGGAAGCAGTTAAAGAGAGAAATCTTCACCCCTTTTCATAATAATAATCATGAGACTGGATATGAAAGAGTTTTGGCCCAGACATGACACTGTAGCTGGAAAAGCCTCAGACGGAACCAATTTACCCAAGGCGCCAAAAGAATACAAATGGGCTACTTGTACATCCCTAATGCCCCTCAGGCACCACTCCCTACCTAAGCTACATGTATGCCCCCACTCCATGTGTTCCACGGAGAGATTGCCGACCCCGGGGAGGGGGGGAGCTGCCACACCCCAGGGGATCAGGTGTGTCTCTCCCTGCATTCTCAAAATAAAGGTCATTTATATTTCATACTTCTTATCTTTTGAGTCACTGTCGGTCCCCCACAGTTCTATCACAAACCAAACCGAATCAAACCAAACCAAACCAAACCAAACCAAACCAAACCAAACCAAACCAAACCAAATGAATTCAGGAGGTGAGATGTTGAGACCCAGGGAGTAGCTGGCCCTGCTGTGTGGCCAATGCTAAAGCAGTGTCCTGCTGAGACAATCACTTCCACACTAGTTCTGCATTGAGCTTTGGGAAATGACTTCCCAGCCTGGCCCTGTGGCCCCTGCTCTGTGATTGGCTGGGTCCTCCAGGTGAGTAGTGGATTTATATCTTGTGACCTAACTTGAGGCTGGCTCTGTGACCTGTTCTGGGCAGTGGGATACAGCATGAGGAATCCAGTTCCTGTTCTGAGTCCGGCCCTCAGAAATCTCAGTCATATCTGTTGTCTACTGAAGATTCCTTGGCCTCAGTAGCCAAGTATGGGCTTGCCTGCAGGAGTACATGACCATGAGACATTCATCCTTGACCAGACCAGAGTGAGCTGGCCCCAAAGAATGTGAGAGGGTTCTGCTGAGTTCTGCAGGGCCACCCTCCTGAGCCATAGCTGGCCACAGGCACATAGAGGAGTCCAGCCCAGAAGTGCCAACGCAGCCCTGATTCTTGAGCAACCATGACTATTGTCATGCACCAGATAATGACGATTTTGGTAACACTGGATTGCACACACTGTGGTCCTATGAATTGTGATGGAGCTGAAAATTCCTCTCTGATGTTTTTGCTGTGCCTTTTCTATGTTTAGATACACGAATGCTATCACATGACAGTTGTCTATAGCATTCAGTACAGTTACCTGCTGTTCAGGCTTGCTGCCTAGAGGCAGCAGGCAATGTTATCTGGTCTAGGTGTCCTGCACCATCTAGACTGTGTCAGTCCACACTATGATGGTTACACAGTGACCAGTTTCTTAGAACATATCTCCATTATTAAGTGACATGGAACTGTACTCAGTTACCAAGTACAGGTACTGAGTGCTGATAGGTTGTTACTCAGTGATAGCTGACTGATATACTTTCCCAAGTAGGCAACAAGCCCAGGCTTAGCCCAGGACAGAGTTTTCAGTTCTTGTCCCATCATCGCCCTGCTTTCTGACTGATTCAGAACCCTGTCAGTTATCATGATGTGATTGTTCAATGAGGGAGAGACTGGAGCAGTGCTGTGTGTGGGTGGCCCTGGGCCTCCTCCTCCTAGGACCAGGAGTTTGTCAGGTGGAGAAAAAAAGGCAAAGGAGATGGAAAAGGCACAAGATTTCTGGGGACATGGGGACCATAGTAATTCCATGCAGGAGACATTGGGGTGTGATTATGAGAAAGCATGGAAATTGCTAGAACCTATCTGGCACAGAACACTTGCTTCCTAAATGGCTTGTCACTGCTGTGAGCACAAGGCTCCCTAAATGGTGGCTGCCAGGTCCAGAGGGGACAAAGAGTTTAGATTTGAGGCACAGGATGGTGAGGAGTTATAACAGTTGTAGGCAGGATGTGGGCTGGTCTGGCCAGCGCTTGGTGGCTGATAGGGCAAGTGTGGAGACAGGGAACCCCGGCAGGAGGTGTGGCACTCTTCCAGGTGACAGCCAAGTGCAGTTGGTTGAGAACAGGTGGGTGGACAGTGGTGGAATCTGTGGACACCCTGAGGAGGAAATTCCACAGTGCTGTGTCCTGCTAAGTGTGCCCAGTGAGGGGCAGGGAGTTCACGAAGACAGTCTGCATCTGCCTTGGGCAGTCTTTTTCTCCATCTTTAAATCTCTGTTTGTGGTGGTAGGCCCAGAAGCAAGGGTTGATTTGGGACACTGAGGATCACAACCCAATTCCTCCTTTCTGGGTGGTAGGACACAACTTCTCTGAGCTGGGTTGTCACCTGGATGTGGGAGCAAGTGGCTGAGAAAACAGATCCTGGGCTCACCTTGCAGTGTGCAGGTGATAGCTCCACTTTGAGTAGGAAAGCACTGTGCCTCAGCACTTTCTCCTTCCAGAGCTTGCTGAAGGGTTCCTTGGCAGCTGCCCATATATCTTCACCCTCCCGCCTCTTCATCCACCTACCCGCACCTGTCCATCTATCCACTTGTCCATCCATTCATCCATCCATCCATCATCCATCCACTCAGCCATCTACCCACAGGCCCTCTATCTATACTTCCTTCTTTCATTTGTGTGTCCATCCTATCTGCCCCTTCTATATCTCCTCCTCCCTTCCTTCCATCCCTCCAACTATTTCATCCCTCCTTCTATGTTCACTAATCCAGGCATCTTAGGAAAGACCTACACTGCACAATGGTTCAGAGCATCAGTTTATCCACTCGGCACCCTTGGGCAAGCCCAGTTGGTTCTCCCTGGAGCCCCTTGATGTGTGCGCGTGCACGCGCTCCTGTGTGTTTATGTGTGTGTGTTCTTCCTTTCCCACCTCCCTTTCCCTAAATTATTTTATGATGTGGTACACTGTGCTGGTGAAAGGTCATCCCCACGAGTTTGGGCCTGGTCTATTGTCTGCTGAGTGTGCTGTGCAACCTGGAGTAAAGCCCTGCCCTTCTCTGGGCTTGTTTCTCTGTCTTTAAGATAAGAGATTTGGTCCAAGTCATAGTCGGTAGGCTGGTGGCCCCAGGGCCAAGTTCAACTGTAGTCCTGCTTGTGTCACCCTGGAGGCATCTGTCAACATACTGAAAATGTTGGAGATTATTCTGAGAAAACCACAGGGTGCAGTCCTTGAAATCTCAGAGGATGTGGGCACAACGGTGACCTTGGGTCAAACAGCTGAATCCTAAACCTGTGTCCTCCGGACCCCAGCCTGTGTGCTTTTGACACTGTGGTCCTGGGCTTTCTGATTTGTGATTCTACCACTAAGTTTATCACTTTCTCACCCCAGGGTCATTGAAAAAACCACTTTAGGACTACAACAAGAGGAAGAGGAAAACCTTTACCCACAAAAGTATCAAATATTTTTTGTCATAAGTGTATTTGAAGAAGCCTATAATCATGAAGAATAATAGTCATAGTAATAATAATTAATACTAATAGCATTCACTTATTATTTTTCAAAGCCAAGTGGCGTGTAGTCATAATTGGAAAGATCCTCACCCATCCTTGAGTGGCAGGTATAATATTCTGATTTTATAGGGGAGGGGACTGAGATACAGCTCAGGGCACAGCTGGACCAGAAACCCAATAAGAGGGGAGCCCCTTAGGTTGCAACACCCCTCATGACAGGAGCCAGACGATAGGCATCCGCCCCAGCCCTGCTCCCACAGTCCTGCCCTCACTTGGGCCGTGAAGGAAAATGTGAGCAACTTTCCTGAGATCCCACTTATGTAGCTAATACTGAGCAGTCACCTGGTGGTTAGTCAGAACTTTACCCATTCTCAGGAGCCAATGAGGCCAGGAGAAGAGGCTTAGAAAATCCCCTGCTCATGGGAGGGACTGTGGGTTCTCCAAGGAAAAGAAAAGATATGACATGGGGATTTCAAGTTTTTTCCTTATCTACTCATTTACCCACCCATCTACCCACCCACTTATATACCCAACCACTATGCACACATTTACCTACTCACCTATCCAGCCACCTACCTGCATGCACCTACATACCCATCTATCCATCCGTCTGTCCACCTATCTGCCCATCCACCTATCCATCTGTCCATCCACGCATCCATCACAACCCACCTACTCATCAATCCATCTATCTGGACACTTATTTATTCATCCATCCAGTCATCTGTCTATCCATCCACATACATATCCATTTGTCCATCTATCCATACACATCCATTCATCTGTCCATCCATCCATTTCCCATCCATCCACATACATAGCCACCCATACACACATCCATCTATCCATTCACATATCCATCCATCCATCCATCCATCCATCCATCATTTCATCTGGTCCACTCATCCATACACTCATATAAAAGAAATATTAGGAAATATAGCCAGCCAGTCACTTTTATTTGCCAGTGACCCAGACTCAGTGCTGAGATAGGGGTTGAACATGGCCTAGATGTGCAGGGGCTCTTAGCACTCAAGGGTCACAGGGCCGTGTCTCAGATGTATCTGAATTTCACCAGTGGCTGTGGGAGAGAGTTCAGAGGTGCCATCTCTTGGTGGTTGACCACAATCACCAAAGTCCCCTGATGCCCAACTCATGTGCACTCATGGGAACACCACACCCCACCCCACCCCACCAGTGATGCTCCTGGGACCATCAAGTGCTCAGGCATGCACCTCCATGCACATGACCTGCTCTCCCTCACAGGGGCACTTGGAGACATACATAGACACGCATGCACACAGATATCGATCCAAACCCACACATAGGATGGCACATGCTGGCACCTGTGGCCTCCTGGAGGAGCTTTCCAGGTCAAGAGGCACTGAGTGTGTCCAGGCCAAAGCAGGGAGGCCTGTTCCTTGCCTCTCCCCACCAGTCCTCCCTGGAACAGGGCCGCAAGCCCCAGGCCACTGCACAACTTGTGACAACACCCCTGCCTGTTTTTCTCCCATCTAAGGACACAGGCAGTGGCGGGGCTGTTCTGGTGAGATGCAGGGGCCTCAAGCTGGCCTCTGCCTGGTAATGATGGTTGAGTCCCTGTGATGGTCACACAACATGGAGGGCATTGGTCCACTCAACTGAGTGGCTCACCCTAAGGTCCCCTTTGGTGACCTGCACAAAGCCTTTAGCTTCACAGGTGGAGGCAAGGATTGGGTTTCTTCCCAGTCCACATGGATGATGCCCCAGCCCCAGTGGGCATCCGGGGGCTGCTTTGTTCCCCTTGGCAAACAGAACTCCAGAACCCAGATGCATGAGGGTCCCTGTGGGACCTGCCCACAGGCCCTGGCTGTGCCCCGCCTAACCCCAGTGAGGACCAGTGTTAGGAAGACACACAGGCTGTGGGATGATACAGCAGACTCCATATAAATAAAATATTCTTATAAAAATAGTCTCTTACAAAATATTCTCTCTTATCCAGTGGTTTACTTTCCAAATGATGAAAACAGCTGGGAGTTTATTATTGTTCCTTTCTCTCTGTCTATTCCAAACTAGATCTTTTTTCTAATGGCAATGTTTGAACTTGGAAGGCAGAAGGTTGGGAAACGTATTCTGGGGAAAAAGTCTCCAAACTTGGATCAGCTTAAATTTCTGGATAAGTAGCAGCAAATAGCCAAAAAAAAAAAAAAAAAAAAAAAAAAAGTGGTGAGTGTGTGTGTGTGTGTGTGTGTGTGCATTTCTATGTGGGCATAAAGTATAAAGGATGTCTGCTTGTTGTACTTAAACCTCTAGTGCTCCAGAGGGAAGATACTTGCAAAAACAACTAGTAGAAACATCTGCATAAAGAATAATTATGTACAGTTCTACTTGGCTCCAGGTTCTAGCGACACAAATCATCCCGCCAGGAAAGCACAAGTCCACTTCGACTGCAGAAAACGGATCCCGACGAGGTGGAAGGATTCTTTTTAATTAAATAAATTAATATTATTTTTATCAGAATCAATTGTTAAATATTGCTATGATGAGGCCCGAGGGCCTGGAATTCCAGTGAAAGGCTTCCTTCCAGCCGGGCAGGGATGTGGGCAGTATCAGGGAGGAGGAGCAGCACTGGACATGGAACAGAACAAGCGAAGGCCCAAGGGCTTCTTCCCAGGGTCTTTGGGAAACCAAAAGCCAGAAACAGGGCCTCCTCAGCAGGAAAGACAAGCTCAGTGTTTCTGTGGCTCCCTGTGAAGAGCAAGGCAGTGATCTGGAAGGTGACGGCAGCATAGAGGCTGTCCGGTCCTCCTGCTCTGCCCTGCGGCACAGGAGCGGGCGTCAGCCTCACTTGCACGTGTACATCTCCGTGCGCTCGCTGCATGTGTTGCACTTGACATAGCAGCACCAGTGGAACTTGCAGTTGCACTGCCACACACGGGCATACTGGTGGGTGTTGTAGCCGCGGCCACAGCACATGAGGTCGCAGCCGCTGGCCTGGGGGGCCGTCTTGTTGCAGGCTCGGCCCTGTGTGCCCACACTACCTGTCACTGGGTCCTCCTCACAGTAGTTGGGTGACTTCTCGATGTACACCAGGTCCGTGTCCATGGGCTTGCGGTAGGACAGGGGCTTCTTGATCTTCAGGAAGGTGGGTCGCTTGTTGCGGCTGGCGCGCACGGGCTCCACGTGGACGGCCTCGTTGTACTTGTCCTTGAGCACGTAGCCCAGCTCCCGGAACTGTGGCAGCGTGGTCCAACATGTCTTGGTGGTGCACGAGCCTGACACACCGTGGCACTTACATTCCAGCTTCATATTCTCCTCCAGGATCTGTAGGTTGGGTGGGGGAGCACAGAGACATCATTGCATGCACCCAGCTGTGCAGCCCAGCCGACTCACCCACCCCTCTGATGGATGCATCCTCAATCACTCTTTGGGAGACTTGGACCTGGATGCCAAACTCTTCCCCCCAGCCTTGGTGCTAGGTCTGGGCCTAGAACTCATTTATCCTGTCTGCCTTTCAGCACAACTCTTGGCTTGCATACACCTAAGATCTATATTTTGGGGAGGGGTAATGGGGATTGAACCCAGAGCCTTTGCACCAAGCTACATCCTTAGCTTTTTAATTTATTTTTAAAATTTTGAGGTAGTGTCTTATTGAGTTGCCAAGTTTCCCAGCCTGTCCTTGAACGTTTGATCTTCCTGCATCAGCCTCCCAGAACATGAGGACTGAATACCACACTCAGCTCTAAAATTGATTTTGAACCAATATTTTCAAAATATTAGAGAGAGTTCACTTTAAAAGACAGACTTTCAGGTTTTCTTGGATATCTGACAACACCAAGGTGATAATCAAAGTATTTCATATCTGATGCAATGAGGCACTGATCTATGGCATGGAGCTGTCCTGAAGCCAGTATGACTGTGCTTCTGTGTCCAGCATGTGTGCTCTGCTGGAGGGTGCAGGAGTACAGTGCAGATGTGATACACATGGCCATGATTGCATTCCTTGGGCATGGACCCCAGAGACTCATTTTATGCACATAAGAAACAGGCTCAAGAGGGTCACAGGCACCATGTTACTAATAGCTCAGACCTGGGCACTGTCCATGTGTTGGTCCAGTGCAGGAAGAATGAATGGAGGTACCTGCATTCCAGGGGACATGGTGGGAGCAGTGACAATGAATGTGAACCGTGCGGATAGGAACCAGCTTGAGAGATATGCAGGTGTGGTGGCACATGTGCCTGTAATTCCAACACTCCGGGAGGCTGAGGCAGGAGAATCACAAGTTTAAGGTCACCCTGGGCAACTTAATGAGACCCTTAATGACTTAGTAGGACCCTGTCTCAAAATAAAGAAGGGCAAGGGTTATAACTCAGGGTAAAGGTTCGTGGTTCAATATTCAGTACAAAAAAGGAAAAGAAAGAAAGGAAGAAAAGTAAAGAAGGAAAGATTGCAAGGAGAGAAAGAACCTAATCATAAAAGACTTCCATAGAATAGTTTCACTGAATCAAGTTCAAAGGCAGGCAAAACTGGACTGGACTATTTAGGAGCCAATTCAGGGCGGTGGAGGGTGGGCAGGAGGAGACTGTGATTACTGAAAAGAAACGAGGCTGACAGGTATCAGAGGGGAGGGGCTGTGGTTGACCAGGGTCACCCAGGGGTCTCCTGGTGTGGGAGAAATGCACCGTTCCTTGATGTGGGTGCTGGTTCCATGGTCTGTGCTTTGCGGTTATTCTTTTAAGCAAACGTGGATGCTTTTTGTGCTTTTTTGTACCAAAGTGGCGGCTCACAGTGCATAAAAATGTGACGTGTGACTGTGGTCCATGAGCACATGAAGAGATGTTCAGCCTCTTAGTCACAGGAAGGTGCAAATCTAAATCCCAGTGAGCTTCTTCACACTTGTGAGGATGGTAGAAATATGACAGACAGCAACCAGGGCTGGAGACACCTAGAGATGAGCACCCTTAGGCTATGCTGATGGGAAGGGGACCTGTGCCCTCACCATGCAAAATAGTTTGGTGATTCCTCAAAATGTGATCCAGAGAGTTAACCCGTGACTTGACAGTTCCTCTTCTGGATATGTTCCCAGGTTAAATGAAAACATACGTTCACCTGCTTGTGCATGTTCATGGCAACATTGTTCATAATAGCTAAGAAGTGGTTTGTGGGTGGACCCCACAAATGTCTGCCAGCTGATGAGTGGACAAACAAAATGAAGAATGAAATTTTCATAAAACTTATTGTGACCTAGTACCAGTAAGAATGGGTTTTATCAAAAAGACTAAAGTTGATGAATGCTGTTAGGGGACTGAGAGGAGGGCACACTAGTACCTGGTTGGTGGGGATGTAGATGGGAGCCATTACAGAAGTTCCTCAGAATAGTCAAATGACTGCTGCCAGAGGAGGTGGAAATTGTGTAGGAGAGACGGCTGTACCCCTGTTTTTGCAGCACTGTTCCCAACAGCCCACAAACGGAAGCCATCTAGCGCCCATCGGCTGAGAAAAATGTTAAAGACAATGTGATCCCTATACGTTGCAGTATCTACTGAGCCTTGGAAGGAATGAAATGCTGCCATTTGCAGTGCCTATGGAAGTGGAGACTATTATGTGAAGTCAAATATGCCAAGAACAGGAAGACAGAGGGAATGCAGGAGGGCTGCTGGGGAAGCCAAAGCAGCCGTCTCTTGAAAGTCAAGAGCAGAATAGTGATCACCGAGGTGGGGAGTGCAGGGGAGGAAGGGATGGGTACTAAGCTGTGGTGGATATGAAGTTACGGTCAGGTAGGGAAGCAAGTTCTTGTATAGGAGGGAGACTAAGATTAATGTGCCATGTCTTTCTATGAGCCGGAGGGATTTTAAATATTTTCACCAAAAACGCTAACACGTTGCATTGCATGATACTGAATTATACCTCAATGAAGTTTTATTTAAAAAGCCAGTGGGAACCCCAGAAGGTTCAAGTGAGAAAGCAGTATGAATGCAGTATGGACTTGCGAGTCTGAGCTCCCAAATGTCATGGCTGCCAAGAGCCAGGGGACTGACCCCAGTACCAAAGCCTGGGCTGGCATGGCTGCCGCTTCTGCCCCCTGCACTGTCCCACTCTGTGAGGTCTCCCTCTTCCTCTGGTGCTGATCGCCTGAGGCCGCAGTGATATTGAATGGGCCTTAATCAGGTGACATTCAGCCTAACCCTGCTAACACTGCATTTTGAGAGCCTCATTGATCACATTATATCCACACTAAGCCGGTCCTAATCAGGGCTGCCCCAGCCAGTGCTAGTCATCCAGCAGGCACCCAGCTTTCTCCCCGAGCCCAGGGACAGCAGCAGAAGGGGTGTGTACAGGACAAAGTAGAGATATCTGTGTTCCAGCTCCTACCCTTTGAGGCCTGACAGAGTGCCCTCCTCCCTGGAGAGCCAGAACCCTGTGTTTTGCAGGGCCTGGCACCCAGAAGAGTGCATGCAGACTGCTCCACAGCCAGCTCCATCTGGTTCAAGCAATCACCTGTTAAATGTTCAAGCTCTGGAAGCCCTGTTAGACTGGCCAGGCTTCAGGCCTACATTGCTGTGGTGGGGGGAGTAACATTTGGGTACAACTGGGAAGCTGTTGTACCCAGAGCTGTTCCCAGAGCTGGGGAAGGGTGATGGCACTTTATGTTGGTGGTTATATTTCTGGGTCCCAGATTAAAGACCAGCTGAATAGGGATGCTGGGCTCTGTCATTTCCATTCCACAGGTCAGAGCACAGATCAGGAGATGACACAAGGCATGTCTCTTGAGGGTATGTGCCTGGTAGAAGGTGCTGGAGGGAGGCTGGAGGGCAGGAAGAGGGTATAGGTGTTACTGTGCCTGCTGCATCCTGCAGGGCCCCATAAGATGACTGTATCACTTGGCAAAGGTCACAAGTCCTCCCTGGACTCCAAGCCCAAGGAGTGACAGTATCCAGCATATCACTGCTAACTACAGGCACAGCACCAGCCCTTATGGCTCCAGTAACTTGGACCTGTTTGATTCCCAAGCCTATTATTAGCTTTGTTACAACACAATTCGCACGCCATATGGTTTACCCATTTAAGTACACAATTTAGTAGTTTTTCCTGTATTCCCAGAGTCTAACCATACAGCATTTTCATCACTCTCAAAGAAACTCCCTACTCATTAGCAGTTACTCCCCATCTCCCCCCTTCCCAGCCCTAGGCAGCACCTAGGCTACCAGCCTGTCCTAGATGATCATTTAAAAGAAGTCACATAGTATGTGACCAGTTTTCCAGCTCCCTCCACGTGGCAGCATTTGTTAGATTCCCCTCCCTTCTCATGGATGAATAGTACTCTGTGGTGGGAGAGGCTGCACCTCACCTAACCATCACCTGGCTGTCAGTCTCTTAGACCCTCTTTCCTTTCCCAAACTGAATATGCCACGACAGAGCCATCCCCAGCCCCAGGCCATGCTTCTCTCAGTACAGCCAGACTCTCCCTCCAGTGCCTGTGGCTCTGCACCTGCCAGGCCTTATCAGGAGACTGATCTTTATCACCCTGCACCCAGTTCCTGCAGATTCTGCACCCTGCTACTGCCCTGTACCCTGCGGGGAAGCTCACCCTGTATGCAGCCTTAAGGAGCCTCACAGAGCATATCTGTGATATCAAAAGGCTGGAAGAATTTAAAGATCCACCACCAGGAACTGGGTCTATCAATGCTGGCGGATCTGCCCCTGGAATGGCCTGAAGCCCTGAGCCTCGGGGAATTGGGGAGGCTGAGCATTAACTGGGAGAATGGACAGGCAAGAGATGGTGTTAGGGGAACAGAACCAGGTTTGCAGAGTCTGCAGTTTATTATTGAATGTGCAAGGAAGAAAAGGTCTGCTGTAACCCCAGCATTCTGGAAGGCTGAAAGTTCGAACCCAGCCTGAGTGATTTAGTGACTTAGTGAGCTTTTGTCTCAAAGTAAAAGAATAATACAAATGTCTGACAATGTAGCACAGTGAGAAGGCTCTGGAGTCAATCCCCAGTGCCACAAAAACAACACAAACGAAACAAAAAAATGAAATAAAAAAGGCCTGCACATATACATTACTAAGAGGGGCTTTGGGAAAGGCTTGGGGCTTTCTGTTCAGAAACCCAGGGCCTCAAGCCAGATAAGCACAAGCCACACCCCTGTAATGGAGATTGCTGTAATGGAGATTGAACCCAGGGTTTTATGCATGCTAGACAAGTGCTCTACCACTGAACTGCATCCTCAGCCCTTTTAAAAATTTGTATTTTGAGACATTTTAAGTTGCCCAAGCTGGCCTCAAACCTGTGATCCTCCTGCCTTGGCCTCTGAATTGCTGGACT